TTTTTGTTCTTTATCACTTTAAGGAGGTGTTTTGCAGCAGATTTGCTCAGTCCAATGCATCATTTGGTTTCTTTACTGCTGCTTCCATGAACATTGATTACAGATGCCAGTAAAATGAAATTCTTGACAATTTGTATATATATGTATGTTTTTATTTTCTAAGTGACTGTGCATCCCACCACGTGTCTGTCATTTTGTTGTACTGTGGTGGTTTGTGTGTTGCTATGACACTGGTGTTTCAAATGCCAGTGGGGTCACCCAGAGTGATCAGGTTTCAGTGGAGCTTCCAGACTAAGAAAGACTACAGAGAAGGAATTGACTGTCCACTTCAGAGGCATTAGCCACTGAAAGCCTATGCAGAGCTTTGAAACATTGTCAGATAATGAAGGCCTAATGAATATAGCAGAACATTATCAGAGAGAATGATAGAAGATGAGCTCCTCATATGGGAAGGCGCTCAAAATATGATTGAAGATGATGGGTATCCTCTAAATAAAATGAACCAAATGACATGAATGGAGTAACACCTATGGGAGTAAGGCCTATGGAGTAACGCCCATGGGAGTAACACCTATGCAGTAACGCCTGTGGAGTAATCCCTATGGGAGTAACGCCTATGGAGTAATGCCTTTGGAGTAACGTTTATTGGAGTAACGCTTATGGGAGTAAAGCCTTCTGGACCTTCGTTTGCTGATGAGGCATGGTTTAAAATGAGAAGAAACAGCTACAAAAATCTAATAGTCAAAACTTGGAATACATGAACTATAAACCTAGAAAAATTCAAAGCTTTAAAAAATGAATGGAATGGACAAAGATTGATATCCTAGGTGTTAATGAGCTGAAATGAACTAGTATCGGCCACTTGGAATCAGAAAATCACATGGTTTACTAGTCTAGGAAGGAGACACTTAAGAGGAATGGTGTTGCGTTCTTTGTCAAAAATGACATTTCAAAATATATCTTACATTACAATGCTGTATGTGATAATATATCTATCTGCCTTCTAGGAAATCCAGAAATATAATTATGATTCAAATTTATGTACCAACCACAAAAGCTAGTGAGGAAACAATTGAAGAATTCTACCAACGACTTCAGTCAAAAATTGATAAAATATGAAAGCAAGATTCACTTATAATTTTTGATGATTGGATTGCAAAAGTTGGAAACAAAGGAAGAAATGGCAGTTGGGAAAATATGGTCTTGGTGCTAGAAATGAAGTTAGAGATTGCATGATAGAATTTGGCAAAGCCAATGATTTGTTCATAGAAAATGCCTTCTTTCAGGGATCAGTTATCAGGCATCATCAGAACAAAAATCATATCATTGTGAATGAGGGGGAGTGCGGAGTGGAGACCCAAAGCCCATCGGTAGGCAATTGGACATCTCCTTACCGAAAGGTCGCAGGGAGGAGAATAGCAGTCAGGGTGCAGTGTAGC